TACCGGGTTGGGGGGAGGGGATGCCCCCGGGCACAGACGCACTGGGCTGGGGTGGGGGCTGCCCCCGCTGGGCCATGCTGAGTCTTACATTACAGGTGCAGCTGATGCAGTCGCCCTCGCTGTCCGTCCAGCTCTCACCGTCCGACATCCGGCGCCCTCCAGTCTCTATCACGCACTCTGCAAGGGGGGGAGGGGGGTCAGCCGCTGCCCCCAGACCCACGGGGACGGGCACTGGGAACTGCGTGGGCAGACAGTCGCCCAATGACAGAGCAGGACGGTTCCCGGGGGGGCCACATGATGGGATGGGGCGGGATTCTCACACAGTCAGTCCTGTGCTGACTGGTACATAGCCATCACTAGGCTTCAGAGTTACCAGCCCTGGGCTGGGCGGGGCTCAGAGCTAGTGCTGCGCTGTCTGTCTGCAGGGACGGGTGCCTGGACAGACAGACCTGGGGGAAGCTAACCCAGCGTCACTGCCTCGGGGTCCCCCTTGTCCGCTTGGCCTCTGCTGTCCCATTAGGGGCAGCTGCCTTGTGGCCAGCTCCAAGCACCCCAGCCACAGGGCTCCGTGCCAGCTGGGAAGGGGGGAGTTGATGCCTGGAACGCAGGGATCCCCAGATCCCAGCCCCCCACTTCTTGCTGCCATGCTGCTCCCCCTCCCCCCCACAACGAAATGTGCACCGAGGTGCCCATCGGCAAGGCCTCTGGGCGTGAGCGGGCGCTGGCCATACGTCACCGTCGCAGACGGGGCAGCAGGTGCCCTGGGGGGTGAACTGCTCGGCAAGGGGGCAGCTGAGCTGCGGACAGCCCTGGCGCACACACACCCAGGTGAGATCCTGCAATGAGAAGAGCGGGGGCCGGGATTCAGCCATGGCTCAGGTGCCAACCCGGGACGGGGCCGCGGCATGGACACACACACACGCACACACACACACACACACACATGGGATGGGGCCACGGCACCCCCTGCACACACACACACACGGGACGGGGCCGCAGCATGGGCACACACACCCGGGACGGGGCCACGGCACCCCCTGCACACACACACGGGACGGGGCCGCGGCATGGGCACACACACCCGGGACGGGGCCACAGCACACACACACACACACACACACACAAACACACACACACACACCCGGGACGG